GGGGGGGGGGGGGGGGCGGATTAAAATGGAGATAAAGGAAGGGCAGTGAGATGACCCAACCCATTCTAAGGGTCTACTGCACCCCAGACCCTGGGTAATGGGCAGAGGGACGTGGAACGAACATCAGAAGACTGCTGGTCAACCTCTCCTTAACTTTCTCAGCTCTAAAACGTGCCTTAAAAACATTCCAGCTTATCTATCCCATGGGCTTGTTACATGAACCCCAAGTCGCTCCCCAGACAAACTAGAGAGGTCTCCCAAAAATTACCTGTAGGTAGGGCTGAGGGCAGCTTTCCAGACTCTCTCTTACCCGCTCCACCCTGGACCCTCTTGAGAGCTCTGGCCTGGCACCCCTGCTTCCTTATCTGGATGGCAGCCCATCTGGACCAGAGCTAACTCTAGATTTCTCTGTCTTCCTGGGCTCTGCCTCTGATGCCAGCAGGGACTCCACACCCTGGGACCTGCCTGGCCTCACGGCCCAGCAGGTCTGAACCCTAGGCCAGAGCCAGGTATCACAGTTCCCACCGGATCTGTAGGGGAAACCATAACATTTTCACCAAATGAGTCCCAGAAATTGTTATTCCAGAAATTGATTGCTATTGTTCCTTTAGCCCTGGGGAAGAGGGATCTTTTCCATTTCCAGGCCTCTTTGCCCCCCGCCCCCAACCCCTACTCCCTCACCCCTGCCCCTCACCATTTTAGATGTTCAAAAACTGTGTTTTAAAGAAAACGAAGTTCCCTTTCCTAGACTGCTCAGGTCAGCAAACAGTGTTTGGTGGAAAACTGGACAGGAAGAGGCTGAGATCACATCGGATAGGCACGGGGAAGCTGAGACAGGAAATCCATCAGTTCTGGGGACAGATGTTGAAGCCCGAGTCCCCCACAGGTAGTAGCCAGAGGTTTACACGCAGGAACCTCGTGGCAGAAACCCCTCCATGTCTGCAGAACTCTGTGAGCACCAGGGCCGACCCCACAGCTGGGGGAGGAGAGGGAAGGCGAGTCAGTGGCATCCGCCCAGCGGGATAGCCCCTGGTGTGTCAGCAGATAGAGATCATCTGTGACAACAGCCACCACGCCCAGGCCCACCCCAGGCCCAGGGGGCTAGCAGCAGGTGGCTTTAGCTGACTTGTTTGGCTTTCTGCCCTGTGGCCAGTGGAACCTGACAGGTCAGTTTCCAGACCTGGGCTGATTTTCTTTCACTTCCTGGTTCTCACACCTTCAACTTGAGAAGCTGTGGTTCCCCTCCCCCTCACTCTGCAAGAGGATGTGCTTTGTCCACAGTGCCCAGAGAAAGGTCTGGTCTCTTCATCAGCCATTCTGAACCCTAGGAAGTTATTTAAGGGATCAAAACAGCTGAAGTTAGACCCCTGAAGATTGAAATCAGTGACTGGCCTCTATCCGAGGATGGTTCTTCCCATGTGGGAGAGACCTGAGCACAGCCACCCGCCAGCGCGCCCCTCGCCCCGCCCCGCCAGCCGGTCTCGGCAGGAAGGAGCAGCTTTGCCTCCTAAGTCTGTTTTTTTAAATCGATCTTTAGAAAGAGAGGAAGAGAGAGAGAGAGAGAGAGAAAGAGAGAGAGAGAGAGAGAGAGAGAGAGAAACATCAATGAGAGAGAAATATCATTAATCTGCTGCCTCTTGCATGCCCTACTGGGGATTGAACCCGGGCATGTGCTCTGACCAGGAATCAAACCATGACCTCCTGGTTCACAGGTCAATTCTCAACTGCTGAGCCATGCTGGCCAGGCTCCTAAGTTTGTTTTTATTTGCTTTGGAGAAGGTGCCTTTTTTTTTTTTTTTTTGCAATCCCTTTCACACTTCTTTACTGAATATTTGAGTGATCAAATGGAGATGGAGGTAGCTCAGCAGGGCTGGGATTATGGCAAGGCCAGTGAGGCTACTAGGGAACTAAATTGCAAGAGGCACTAGCTCTCGGGTTCATACAAGTTCTCACCCTGGTCGGACCCTGATTGCTGGTGAGGGGAAGCTTCAGGGGGAGATGGTTTACTCAGAAATGGCTGACTGTGGAATAGTGAGGGGCCCCACCACAGGCACCTGCCAGCCTTGCTTCCTCTTGCCTGGGACTTCCAGGCCTCTCATGTCCACAGGTGTGCCCTGTATGGGGGCTGGGCGCTCCCTGTCAGAAGGCCCCTGCTCCTGGGAACTGCAGAGTGAAACATGTATGAAAGCGAACTTGAATCAAGTCAGAGGTAGTTGTCACTGCAGGGGTGCAGGGCTGAAAAACATTATAACAATATTAAATACCGCTTTGGGTACTTACCATGTACCACGCCCTGTGTTAAATACATTATGGCCATTATTTTATATAATCCTCTCAGCTCAATAAAGAACTTGGGCTCTAGAGCCAGACAGCATGAATTTAAAGCTCAGCCTTGCCTCTTCCATGATGTGTGACCTTGGGAAATTACTTAACCTCTCTGGGCTTCAGCTTTCTCATCTGAAAAATGGGAATAATAAAAGAACTGAGCCGAAACCGGTTTGGCTCGGTGGATGGAGCGTTGGCCTGCGGACTGAAAGGTCGCAGGTTCGATTCCGGTCAAGGGCATGTGCCTGGGTTGCGGGCACATCCCCGGTGGGAGATGTGCAGGAGGCAGCTGATCGATGTCTCTCTCTCATCGATGTTTCTGACTCTCTATCTCTCTCCTTTCCTCTCTGTGGAAAATCAATAAAATATATTTTAAAAAAAAAAAAAGAACTGACATCATGGTATTCCAAGGATCATATCCGGTAATACAAGGAAAGCCATGAGACAAGCCTCTGGCACAAGATAAACACTGGACAAGTATTAGCCGTGGTTAGTATTGTGGTTGCCTCTTGGAGCTTATTCCTGGGGTTGCCACAACAAAAGTCTCACAGACTGGTGACTTAAACAATAGAAACGTATTGTCTCACAGTTCCAGAAGCTAGGAGTCCAAGATTAAAGTGTTGGTAGGGCTGGTTCCTTCCATGAGCTGTGAGAGAGAATCTCTTCCCTGCATCTCTCCTCGCTTCTGGGGTTTGCTGGTTTATAGATGATCATCTTCTCCAATGTCTCTTCACTTCGTCTTTCCTCTGTGTGTCTATCTCAGTGTCCAAACTTCCCTTTTGTTTGAGCCCGTTTGGGCTGCTAAACAACAATACCATGGATTGGGTGGCTCAAACAACAACCCCTTATCTCTCACAGTTCTGGAGGCTGAGAAGTCCGAGATCAAGGCACGGCAGATTCAGTGTCTGGTGAGGACCTGCTTCCTGGATCTTAGCTGACTGTTTTCTCACTGTGTCCTCACAAGGCAGAAGGGGTAGAGGAGCTCCCTGGGGTCGCTTTTATAAGAGTACTAATCCCAATCATGAAAACCTGTCCTCACAACGTAGTCTCCTTCCACAGGTCCCTCCAAATTGGGAATTAGTTTTCAACATATGGATTAGGGGAGGGAGGGTGGAGAAACACACACATTCAGCCTATAGCACCCTTTTTATAAGGACATCAGTAATAGTGGCTTGGAACCCACTCTACTGACCTTTTTTAACTTGATTACTTTGGTGAAGACCCTAGTTCCAAATTAGGTCACATTCTGAGATACTGGGATTCACAATCCAACACATCTTTTGTAGGGATGGGGTAGAGGGGCAGGGAGAGACACAGTTCAACCTATGGTACAAGACTAAGGAATTTGCTCAATGTCACACATCTCATTGGTGATGAAACTGGGTCCTAGACTCCAGGATTATTTGATGACACATTTCATGGCATGAACCCCATGTGAAGCCCCAACATTCTTAAACCTTCTCTGGATGGGGAGAAAGAACCAAAGAGAGACATTCAGAGCCTACTGCTGCTGCGTTGATGGCATTTCCCCTTCTTTCTCTCTTCTCCAGCCTGCCTGCTCCAGGCTGAGCTGGTAAACTATGAACGCGTCAAGGAGTATTGCCTCAAAGTCTTGAAGAAAGAAGGGGAGAACTTCAAGGCCCTTTACCGGTCTGGTGTGGCCTTCTACCACCTTGGGGACTATGACAAAGCACTCTACTACCTGAAAGAAGCAAGGACCCGACAGCCAACAGGTAAGGCAGAAATTGATGTGTTTTCTCATCGTCAGCCACCTCTGGCAGCTCCCGGGGCCCTCTCACTGGGATGGGAAGCTCTCATGATATGGGGCCAGGCAGGTGCAGAAATGGCACATTAGGGGTCAGGTGGCCGCTAGAACCTAGAATGAGGAGAACATAGAGTCCATGCATTTGCCCAGGGCACTTGGGCACCTCCTCTCTTCAAATTGAATATAGAATTCTTTGTCTTTTCTAATCCAGAATCCAGCTTTCTTCAATTATTCAATAAATACATATTGAATTCTTATGATGTGCCCAGATTTCTGCTGGGCACCAGGCATGTGGATGAGGAAAGGTGGCTCATCTATTTGAGGAGCTCACACTCTGGTTGGCAAGACAGAACACAAAGGAATGATTTGGGTGCTGAGCCCAGTATCTTCCAGGAAGTGTGCTCTGCCTTCTCCAGTCAGATCCCATTCCTGAGAGGATGCGTTATCTGTACCATTCTTGCAAGTTCACATCCACAAGCTCAGCCATTCCTTCATCCCACAGATACTGATTAAGCAGATACAATGGCCCAGGAACTGCTCTAGGTGCTGAGTAGATGTCAGGGAATGAAAGAAAGCTGTTACATTCAAAGAGTTTATGATATAATGGAGGGAGATGGACAGTAAGCGCCTGGACAAATAGATAATGCAATATTTAGTAGTATTAAGTGCTATGAAGGAAATAAAGCAGAAAAAAAGGATCAAGAGTAAATGGGGTGCTATTGTAGACCTGGTGGCAAGAAAGAACCTCTCTGAAGAGATAACATTTCAATAATGTCTTTGACTTGATGTTGCCATTGTTCATGGGGCTGACTTTTTTAAATGCATTTCTCTTTCCAAGAAGTCTTTAAGAACTTTAGGATCAATTTGCAAACCTCCAAATGTATACAGTTTTCTTTATTTTTGTAAGAGCACCAATATCTTTATGTTTTGATTAGTTTTCTGAAATCAGTCCTGTTCCCCCAACTGTACTGTAACCCACTTGAGGACAAAGAACTGGACTCAATCAACAGAATTTTCTTGAACACCTACTGTATGCCAGCACTGTTCTGGCTGCCATGTGTGCCATGTGTGGCATATTTTAGAATGCTACAGCGTTCGTTTCTACTTCTGGAAGCGAACATCTCAAGCAGCCCTGTAACTCTTATATGCTGGTATGTGCAGAGCTAAACAGCTGTTCCGCATCATACCCCACTCACCAATTTAAAAGCTGGGATTGGGGGATAGTTTCCCAGTTTGAGGTGCGGTGGCCTGACTCTACTTATAAGGACAAAAATAAGACAATGAAGCAAAGTCCTTTTAAACTCTTCAATTTAAAAAATTACATTCAAGTAATATTTCTTCGTCATTAGATTATCACTGTTAGGCTAACCTATTCTGGCCCTCATAGAAATGTCATGAGGAAGGTATGACCCCCCCAGGAGAGGCAGGCTTTGGAGTCAGATACTGTTTGTCTCCTTGGACTCACACTTAACCTCTCTGGGGCCCAGTTTTCCCTTTTGTTACAGGGAGGGTGATGCTACATACCTTGCAGGGTTTCAAGGAGGGTTAAATGAGATAGCATGGCACAAAGTAGGGATTCATAAACGGAAGTTGTTTCTTGCAGACAAGACAGGAGGCTCTGAGAAGTTGGTAACGTGCCTGGACTTAAACTCTAAGCAGAGCCTCCGCTCACTGTGCTGACTCAGGAGCACGGGGATATGCTGTTTCATAGAAATAAAGGCGGACATCCCTCCTCCTCTCCTCTCCTTCCCGTCTGTCCCTGGGTCAGGGTGACCTGTCCACATTTGCTAGGGGGAGGCCATGGAGGAGAATGCCAACGTCCTGGTCCTTGATGACAGCTGACATCATGGACCTTAGTTGACTGAGGACGGCCTGTCCAGGATCTATAGCTGTAGGCCCAATACGTCCCCTCACCACGTGTCCTCTAAGGTGTGTTTCTCTCCTCACAGACACCAACGTGATTCGGTATATCCAGCTGACGGAGATGAAGCTCAGCAGATGCTCCCAGAGAGAGAAGGAAGCCATTTAACTACAACACCTCTCTAGACTTGCACTTGCGCCCGACCCTGGACTTGTAGGCATCCCCTGACAGAGAGCCCCTTTCCCATCTCTTCTTCCTGTTGTCCCTCAACTATTGTCTACTCCCAGTGTGAAAAGAAGGAGATGCAAATTTGGAATCTGGTGGGTTGCCCTGACAATGGAGATATCTTCTTCTCCAAAAGCAGCAGGCATGAAACCCATGGCTGGACCCTGCACACCTTTCTGACGGACCAGAGCATCTCAAGGCAATTGTGACAGATCGGTGAGACAGAGGCAGATCCTGGCGGTTTACCATCCCAAAAGCAGCAGGCATGAAACCCATGGCTGGACCCTGCACACCTTTCTGACGGACCAGAGCATCTCAAGGCAATTGTGACAGATCCAGGGTTGAGACAAACACTAGGAGCACTGGTTAAGGCAGGAGAGAGACCGTGAACTTGTACACTGGATTTCCCCATCTCTACCCCCAGTAGCCTCCGCCCCTGCCTCTCTTCCTTGTCTTGGCTTGTGCTTTCTTCTCTTGCCCTTGGAGATCTGAGACTGTGCCAGGATTCACATGCCATTGACACCCACTCTCAGTGCCCTCTGGTGACCACACATACCATCCTCCCATCCCCCCAGCAGACAGCTGTGACAGCAGAAGGGCAGGGTCAAGTGGGCCAAGGGTTGACCACTAAGGGGATGCGGGGAGGGAGAGGTGACGTCCAGGGGAGAGAGCATTGTATAGACTGGGCGACTCATTAAGTGTAAATAAAAATAAATTAACAGGCAGAAACTCCTGTCATTTCTGTTGGAAGCAGCCCACTCCCCCACTGTTACTCCCTCCCCCAGCGAACCCACTCAGAGCTACTTCCAGCCAGGCAGGATGGGGCTTCCCCAATGGCCATTTATTCCCTGGTCTACAGCGTTGGCTGCCTCCTCTGTGTGTTAGAGTAGGCTGGCTTGGGGATTCTGCCCAGGGGGTTGGCTTTGTGGGACTTTGTGGAACTTGTACAGCCTCTTTGATGACATTAGCTGGACTCAATATCTAGCACAGAGAATGTGTTCAACAAATATTTGTTGAATGAATAAATTATGACTGCAGACTGGCTCTCCTGCCTTAAACTAATTTTATCCCAGCCTAGTCTCCTGATATCTATGCTCTTCATGCCATGTTGCTTCAGTCAAATAAGAAACATTTCCTGAGGGCTTCTTGTTTGCCTACCATTGTGCAATATGCTGTGGGACATAGGACGTGGTCCTATGGAAGAATTCAGAAATGCTCGTGTGAGATTATTACCAATGACACCTTTCATTTATACGATGCTTTAAATTTTTCAAAGCACTTTCATGTATCTTCTGTGTGATTAGTGAAAGAAACAGTATTGTACAAATTAAAATATATACAGATGCAATAATGTTCATAGTTAGCATTTATTAAATGCACTATCCTCAGCTCTTTACACGTATAAGCTCATTTCTTTCATGCAATTACCCTATGAGATGGCATTTCTATTTGAAGGATAAGAAAACTGAAAACCAGAAAAACTAACTATCCCAGCCCAGCAAGTGGTTGAGCATCAGCCTATGAATCAAGAGGTTACGGTTCGATTCCTAGTTAGGGCACATGCCTGGGTTGCGGGCTCGATCCCCAGTGTGGGGCATTCAGGAGGGCAGCCAATCAATGATACTCTCTCATTGATGTTTTTATTTCTCTCTCTCCTTCTCCCTTCCTGTCTGAAATGAATGGGAAAAAAAACTTATAAAAGAAAAATGAACTGTTGCAAGGTGGCATGGCCTTAAGTGGAATAGCTAGGATTTGAGCCAGGTATGTCTGACCCCAGAGCTCTAGCTAGAACTACTCTATAATTAGTTTCTGCTCTACATAGTATATTGAGCAGTTACAACCGCTCAAGAGCAGGACTGTGTGCGTTACATTAAAGAGTTTTGACTGTAGTACCTGAGCTGCCTCTTGTGTTTAAAATGCCCAAAGGGAGGAAAAAAAAAAGGTCCCTAACACTAGACTCGCTAGTAGCCAGTGTGGTAACAGGCCAGGAAAAGAGAGCTGAGCCCCACAGTTATTTCTGCATATTATTCATCCTACTTGCTGATGGGCCAGCATGTGTCCAGACAACCCACCTAGCTTTCCTCACCTCATCCCAGCTTTGGGGAAGAGTCACAATTACAGGCAGAGGATGAAAGGGAATACCAAGTTGATGATGGGTTATTTGTTTAATCCGGGGCTCCACCACTGCAGGATCTCATGGCTGCTGAGGGGCCCAGGAGCCAGCAGCCCAGGGGTACTCACGTGGCTTCTCAAAGGCTTCTAACCAGGACCGGAAGAAAGTTCCAGGAATATCCAAGGGCCCACAGTTGCTTGCCTGTAGCTCAGCCTCTGGAGAAGGGGAAAAGGAAAAGGCAGTTACAGCTGCCCCATTCTACCCCACCCCTAACCATAGCCCTCTCTCTGCCCTCTTCCTCCAAAATGGTTTCATGTGACCCCAATTCAAAACCACCCTGCAGTGTACATAGCACAGGCAACCGTGCAAAACCCCCCTGCGCCCAAGCCTCCAGTCCAGAAAAACTCGTGAGTTGGCGAACTGCTTGTTAGAATCCGAAGGAGAAGATGAGGTCAGAGGTGGCCTGTAGAACCAGTTCAAACTGGCAGGGTCTTCCTTTGGTCTTGCATTCAGGAAGGACTCAGTAACTATTCCCAACATGGGTCACAAGAGAGGTCAAAAAGTGAGTTGCGGCGAGACCGGACAGATGGGGCTAAGGTTGTTATCATCCTTCCAAAGAAAAAGGTTGGAAACCAGAACCAAATGAGCACAGCCTCATGGGACATCCTTGTACAAGTGTACAGGCTGTCTGCTTGTCTGGTGACTTAGATACACATGCTTATTGGAACTCCATTCACTGTGACCCAACGTGAAATGATCCCAAAGGAAAAAGCTGCCCGGGGTATTAGCTGATGTCTGGGCTGAGTGGTGAATCTTCTGTTCAGTTGTCCAGCAGAGACGTCAGGGAGCTGCTAAGCAAAATCAGGGGTGTTCACCTTCCCGCCCGCTTCCGTCTCCCCGCCCCTCGCGCACACAGGGCTTGCCATGTAACTGCACGCTGTGTTTGCAGATGTCACTGCTGAACTCTGCCTGGAGCACGAAACCTGGGTCTGACCTGCTTTGTCATCTCCTGCTTGGACTTTTGGGATAGACTCTTTGGGAAGAGAAATTATACCTTCCTTGTAATGATTATAAACGCCTCACATGTGTATTATGAATTTTAGGGGACGGGGGAGACAAACTCCAACCCACAATCCTTGTACCCAAGACAAGCATTATCATCCTTTGGGATATATCTTTTGGTTCTCTTTGAGATAAATGCACACATGCACATACACAGTTTGTTGTGGGGTGTTGTTTTTTTTAAAACAAAAACTAGAGCACATTGTATATATATATATATTTACTCTTTAATAACTTACTTTTCAAAATGTGCGTATTTTAGAATATGAAATACCTACACAGACACTAAATTCAAAAATTACAAAAATCTCTATAGTAAGCAGTAAATCTCCTTCCCACCTCTCTGCCAGCATCTAGTCTCGCTCGTATATCCTGTATATCCTTCCGGAGACATTTAAGCATTTTCAAACATATGTCCATGGTAGCATATGGATGCACGTTTTTGCACCGTGTGCCACTTCACTTATTATGTCAGGAGTGTAACATCTTTACACCTTTTTTGCGTGTCTCTCAAACTTTTCAACATCATCCCCATTCTACAGATGGGCCCTTATTTGATAACCAATCTCCTAATAGTGGTTATTTCATTTGTTCCCAGTCTTCATTGTAAATAAGGTTGCAACAGACATTCTTGTAGCTAAACTGCGCACAAGGAAAAAGTTGCTTGGCTATCTTTAAGAATTTTGATAGAAGTTGCCAACTGTCCTCCAGAGTTTGTACCAAAGCGCTCTCTTATCTGCCGCTTGAGAATGCCCTGTTCCCTGCACCCTCACTCGTGGTGGGTATTAGGCCTTATCACATCTTCACCAATTTGATAGAAAAATAATAGGATGTCAATATTGTTTAAACTTGCATTTCTTTGGTTATTATTGATGAACATCTTCATATGCTTATTGATCATTTGTACTTCTTTCTTTGTGAAATTTCTATTCATTGGATATTGGTATGTTTACCTTTAATATCAACATGTAATTTTATTATGAATATTATTTTTGTCAAGAAATACTGCAAATGGGCTTTCCAAGTGCTTTGCTTTCTAATTTTGCTTATGGTGCTTTTTGACATACATAAATTCTTAATTCTGCAATCAATTTGTTCCTCTGTGGCCAGCTTCTTCCGCCTGTGGCTCACTCTCCCATTTCTGCCAGGTGGCCCTTCTAAAGCACACGGATGGTGTCACTCATAGCTTGAACATCTGTAGTGGCTCCTCATTCACTTTCAAAGCCAAACTCCTTATAACACACAAGGGCTGTCATGTGATTTCCCCCACTGGCTCTTCTGGGCTCACCTGCTGGTCTTCTCCGGTGCCCTACATTCCATTGCCACACAGCTGCTTGGCATTCCCTGAACCCGTGTTCGGGGTCTCTGGGCCCCTCCATGCTGTTCCCTCTGCCTAGCTGCCCATGTCTTACCCCTCCAGCTCCCTCTTTGCCTTGCTAACTCTGTTCAGACCCTAAGCATCACTACTTGAAAGCAGTCCCTGACCCCTTAGTCTGCGCTCCTAAAGCAACGTGAGCCTACCTCTGGCCAGCATTTGCTACAGCGAATTGGAATTTCCTGTTTATGTGTGTCTCCCCCGCTACCTGGATATTCAAGGCAGGCGCTGTGGTTTGTTCATTTTTGCAGCCAGAGCGTCTAGCACGACGCCTTCACATAGCAAGTGCTCACTAAATGTTGAGCACAGAGCTTGGCACGGATGAATAATGGATTCAGTGGCAGATGTTACTTGAGGTAAATGCAGGGCCGGGCTGGGTCTGTGCTTCTGAGAAGTGAAGAAATCCTAGGAGACTTGGGTTATAAGCGAAGCCAGGTGCTCCACTGCTGTGCTTTCCAAAACATCA